AGATTGCGAGTCGAGCGCCCTAACCACCTGGCCATGCTATTTATAATGTTCCCTAAATAATAAAAAATAAATTACAGTGAAAGCAATAAAGATTTTGTAGGTTTGAACCAAACTAAATAACAGTAAATCTTTTTTTGATTTACGGTATTTTCTTGTTTTGATGTTTTGAGCTCTTTTGTGTTTAGAACCATATATACTAATTTTTAAAGTATCAAATTGAATTTTTGTTCAATAAAAATCTTTCAAATGCGACTGTAGTTTCCCCCCCCCAAAAAAAAAACTTTGTCTTCAAAATAAGGATGCGTCTTATATTCCGAAACATACGGTAATTCCACGTGGGATGTTGAACTTTCAGTTGTCATCGTTTGTACAGTGTTTCATATGTAATCTGTTTGTGTTTCAGTGTTGATGCTGAGAGGTTTTTACGGATTAGCGTAACTCAAAAAGACATTGTATAAAACGTGAATGATGTTTTTTTTAAATATTCGCTAAGAAAGCAAATGACGACATTGCTCAGATTCTAGCTTTTCCGTGAACTTCATGTTAATATTTAAAACCAAAATAAATACACCGCGTTTTCCTTTTTTTTTCAGAATATGTCATGAGTTTTAATCAATAAGTGCACACGAAAAAACAGAACTCATTCAAAATGTAAAAACCAGTTATGAGATTTGAAACTGCAATTGCATTTTATTTTTCTTCATTGGCTAGTGTTATTTCAAGAAAAGTATTTGAATACTAGTATAAAAGCCCGTCAAAAATGATGAGAACAATTGTTCAATAATTAACGAAAATTATAGAATTTAACTAAAATTAATTTGTCTCTAACTTCAAAATGCACCTACTGTTCACATATTTCATCAGTCTCGAAGTAATTCTTTAATCACCACATTTTTAATCAAAGTTACGCAGAAAAATGAAATGTTACCGTAAATAAAAGCACGTGTGTACTCTGAAAGAGACTTAAATAGCACTTTTGAGCCTTTTCACTGTATTCTAGATCAGAAAGTAGAAAACATAGTGCAGACATTCCAACACAAAGTTTCAACTCTTTCGACTGTGTGAAGGACAAAAGATATTTGTTAGTAATAAACGTTTATTTTTCTTTATATTTTAAGGCCAAGTTGGTAATATATGTGTTAAAATACCAGAAGAATATTTATTAATTGACATTTATTCACCACTTAAAATTTTTTAAACGTTAGTAATAGTACGTATATTTATAGTCTAATTTAAGCATTAGGCCTAATACATAAATATAACGTAAGGCTTAGCTAAAACACTACTTGGTAAATTTTATTTTGCTTTTGGCTACAACTCAATATACGATTTTATTAGACTCTAATCCTTGGTACCGGAAGTCCACATAAACCGCACTCCAGTATTAAAATATGTAATTAGTTTCTATTTAATACTAAGTGTACACTTCGAGTTCCAAAATGTTTTACGTTTTCATAAGAGCAATTTTATTCGAGAAGAATGCGAAAAAGATGTTGAAGACAAAAATTTTGGAGCTTTGGGAGTTTGACTGAAATAGCAAAACGTTTTGAATCAAACTTTTAATTACTGTATAGTAAAAATAAAATATTTTGGTTCTTAAGAGACAAATTAATACGTGATTTAGTATTGTAGGTACAATTATCAAAAATACTACCTTTAGGTCTAGAATTATATAAAAAAGCGAGAAATATGAAAGTTGTGATTGATGAAAAACTTCGCACTCCAACAATGGCTCTTTCACGGACTATGGAACTGTTCATGTGTCTCATCTTAAGAGCGCTGGGACAAATTACATAGAAGAAACAGCAGCCTGTTATTCCTCTTCTTTTGTTGTTTTTACTTCAGCAGTCTTTACGTTTCTATTTTAAATTGAAATAACTAGCGCCATCTACAGATATTTTAATGAAACTATATATATATAATTTATTTGGGGGGGTAAATGTTTAAATTTCTTGACAAGTGAAACAGAAGCGAAATTATTGCCCATTCACCTAACCAAGTTTTTATATTCTACTAAACCCAGAACCAAATATTTCGATGTAAATGGCAGTACTAGCTAACTACCATTTCATAAATGACTTTAGGAGAGTTCATCTACAGTTTCATATTAATTGAAACTGTTACAACAATTCACTAACATATGAGGTGACGAAACTCTGGATTCTTTGACGTTACACATTAGAAACGTTAGAGCTTTCTAAAATGTTGCATATCCATAAACCACGGAATAAGTTTAGCTTAATTTTCTGAATGCATTTAAAGTTATTATAAAGCTGCTTTCTCGTGAGTTGTTTTTAGTTATATAAATGAAACAAAACCTGAAATAATTTATCATAATTGATAAACTTGGAAAATCTATACTTCCTTTTCTTATTTCTTTACGTGTACAACGATATCTAAAAGTCTGCATTTCATGGCTAATTAGAGAAGACAGGAAGTTTTATTCTGTTCAGAAATTTAACGTGAATTTTGAGCACTGATATATGCTTACTCTCTCTCTCTCTCTATATATATATATATATATACATATATGTATTTATATAAATTTGTTTTTTGCAGGTTACCGTCACAGATTCCGGGACACCCCCTCTTTCTTCAACAACAAGAGTTGTGGTAACTGTGACAGACATTAACGATCACGACCCAGAGTTTCTTCATCAGATTTATCTTCATTGCACAGTACCGCCTACAAACCTATCTTCCGAAGCGTATAAATTGTTTAGGGTAAGTCGTATGAGAAAATATTTTCTGATAATCTTGAATTTTGTTAAGTTGTTTAGGGTGAGTCGTATGGAAAGATTATAAGAAAATCTTCTGATAATCTTATGTTTGCTAAGTTGTTTATGGTGAGTCCTATTGGAAAATATTTTCTGATAATCTTATATTTGTTAAGTTATTTAAAGTGATTCGTATGGGAAGACATTTTCTGATAATCGTGTATTTTGTTCTTGTTCATTTTTGATGTAATTTTTTATTTCAAATCCTAATGAACTGACATTGAAACTGTTGTCTAAATATAGGATCAGTTTATTTCTTTCAAACTGAATACGTTGCATATGTGATAATGGGGTTGTCAATATTTTTTCGATGTTGAATACGTCATATGTGAATTGACGGCGTTGTCAATATTTCTTATTTTCAAATCATAAAAACGTTGTATGTGTACTGAGAGCGTTGTCAAAATGTTGTTATAATGTTGAATACGTTGTATATGCATTGATGGCAATGCCAACATTTGTTGGTTTCAAATGATGAATACGTTTGTTTACATATTTGTATCTGATAGACCTAATAATATAATAAAAAAACTAATTAGGTCGAAGTAAAACGATTTTTGAATGATCTGCTCCAAACATTATTATGTAAATTTAAACTCAAGTGTAAGTCTGGCACAGAACTGAATAATGAGTATTTCTTCCTTAGTGATAATTACAACTAACAGATCCAAGGCATTCACGTTTAAAAGCATACTAAAGAAATTGGGCAACAAGCAAAATATATTTTTTTGTTATTAAACATGCATATAAATATTTTGAACAATTAAAAGCTATGTCACCACGCCCGATCATGACCAACATGATTCCTGTGCGTCTTGACAAAAGCCCTGCAGCGTGGGTTCTATTGCAAAATGCTTCGTTGTATAGCTGTCATGTACAAACCACACCCCTACTATCTGCAGCTTTCTATAACCCATCTTATGCACAAGGACGGCGGTGTACCAGTACCCGTCTCAACATTCTGATTACACAGAAATCCATAGACACTGCATTTGACGACTTGACCAGTAAGCTTTCGTACAAAATATCAGCTGCTTGAGGTCTGCAAATGTTGAACAAATTCGTCGTGAAAGAAACTTGTGTACACGTGACTTGTGTTGCTTTGCCAAATGAAATCCTTTTTGTTTATGTTCTATGTTGTTGCTTGGGGCAAATGGACGGGTTTTGCTATTGACCTTTGTGTTTTTAGATTCTTACATGTTAAAAGACGCCGCATTATGCTCACCACGGCTGGGGTACTGCTTGTTGTAGGTGGCTTTCTGGATGGTCGTGGTGCCATGAGTTGATCCATATTCCCTTATTTTCCAGTGCCATTAAGTACATTGAATATGCCTGTCTTTGGAATTTTAAATCCACAATCTGAGCACATCTTTATCATCTAAGTGTATGAATATTTTGCGTCGGAAAGGTTTATTAGATAACACCAAACAATGTTGAAAATATAGTTTTGATACATTCTGTTCCACCGCGAATTTATATTGACCGTACCTGCTGATTTGCAATTTAAGTAGTTTAAATATACCGTACCCAATCCTTTGATAAAACTACAGGGAGGTCTGTTGTTTGGAATGTACCTTTTTGCCATATAATTTGCATGTTTTGAATGTTCAAAGTTAAATCAGCTGATAAAACTACAGGAACGTCTGCTTGATGCAGGTTGTTACCATATAATTTGTATAACTTGACCGTATTCAAAGTTACATCAGTTGATAAAGCTACAGGAACATCTTATGTATGCAGCTTGTTGCCATATAATTTGTATAACTTGACCTATTCAAAGTTACATCAGTTGATAAAGCTACAGGAACATCTTATGTATGCAGCTTGTTGCCATATAATTTGTATAACTTGACCTATTCAAAGTTACATCAGTTGATAAAGCTACAGGAACATCTTATGTATGTAGCTTGTTGCCATATAATTTGTATAACTTGACCTATTCAAAGTTACATCAGTTGATAAAGCTACAGGAACGTATGTTAGATGCAGTCTGTTGCCATATAATTTGTATAACTTGACCGTATTCAATGTTAAATCAGTTGATAAAGCTACAGGAAAATCTTTTGTATGCAGCTTATTGCCATATAAGTTGTATAACTTGACCGTATTCAAAGTTACATCAGTTGATAAAGCTACAGGAACGTCTGTTAGATGCAGTCTGGTTGCCATATAATTTGTATAACTTGACCGTATTCAAAGTTACATCAGTTGATAAAGCTACAGGAACATCTTCTGTATGCAGCTTGTTGCCACATAATTTGTTTGTGCGTTTATTTATCATTTTACGGTGCCTGTAAGTGGTATTATTCAGGTATGTAACTGTAGTTAATGGTTGATATTGGAATGCTTGTTTTTAAAAAGGTTTTATTACTAAGGTTTTTAATTTCAGATCATACGGCACATTAAATATTTGACATTTATTCCACAATGGCAAGTTATGTTCATATTTACAACATTTTTCCTACTTAAGTTCCTTTAGAAGTACTAACTTATGTAGGTTTTAAAACGTTCCCTTTCTGTATTGTTTGATATGCTGTATTTTACATTAATGTGAACATTTGAAGAAGGTTTTCAACAATTCCTGATTCTAACATCAAAATGTGTGCATGAAGATTTTTAATATATTATCATTGCTAATATTGAAACGTCGATGTGCGTATTTACATTTGATAGATTTTGGAAGATAACAGCATTAATAGTCGAGTGTTTTTCTACAGATCGCACCTTACTTAACGGATCAAGATAGTTTACTGATTCCAGGTTCTTGTTTTTTATTTTTATATTGCTACAGACTGTTCTAAATGTGTTTTCTACTCCAGATACATTGCTCGTTAATTTCAGTACGGAATTCGTAATACAAGTTTGGGGTTACTCTGTGCTCTAATACTGCATGTTTACGATTCGTGCTGAAATGTGTTCTTGAAGACCACTCGCTGGGAAAGTTAAACCTTTATGCTGGGCTATAACTTACGCTACAAGAACAGAGGCACTCGTTTATTGTAAAAACTCATACAATAAAGTTAGTGGACCTCAAGATGTTGCCAAAATAAAGTGGATGTGTATCACTCGAATAAGCCAGCCGTACTGAAGAGTTGTGTAGTTTTACCAATATGTTTTTGGTAATAAATATGACTAATGCAATTTTTTCATAGCCTTTCTTAAAAGATATCAATTTGAACTCGGAGAACATGAGTGGAAATTATCCTTTAAACGGAAGTGAGCCGAATCAATTTAGAGGAGTCTAAGAAGCGGACTTTCGTATTAACTTCCCGAAACTTTCCCAGAGTTTCGTGTTTAAACGTTTTTTCGTCTCGCAAGAACACTAATGAACAGAAGCAGAGTGTATAACAGAATTAAGCAGGATTGTTTCTCAATAGTTAGCACCACTCAGAGAAAATGCACCGATTAAGTAAATTAAAATTACATCTAATGGTTCCATACTTATCTTTTACTGTCCTTATGTTGTGCACGTGTTTCTGACATATATATACGGTATCCCCCCCCCCAACGTATAAAGAACATTCTCTAATAACTCATGCAAGTAATTTAATCTTAATGTGTTAGACCTTATTGATGAGTTGATATTACGAAATGTAATTATATTTTTTTCAACCAAGATAACCCAAATATTTATGGTTTTACTAACAACTACTTTGTTTCGTGATCTTGACTCATGAAAAATTAATTTAACTTCAACATCTGACTAACAATACAGTTTTTTATAGTGACATTACATTTGTTTTTTAATGGCGTTGCAATTGTTGTTTTTAGTGACTTACAGTTGTTGCGTTTTAATGAGGTTATAGATGTTTTAATGACATTATACTTGGTGTTTTTAATGGCATTATAGTTGTTTTGAATGATGCTATAGTTTTTTTTCCAATGGCGTTACAGTTTCTTTTTAGTTTTTAATGGCGTCATAGTAGTTGCATTTTAATGACGCTACATATGTTTTAATGACGTTACAGTTGGTGATTTTAATGCCGTTACAGTTGTCGTTTTAATTTAACGACGTTACAGCTTTTTATATTCTTTAGGGCCCGGCATAGCCTGGTGGTTAGGGCGCTCGACTCGCAATCTGCGGGATTGAATCTCCCTCCCACCAAACATGCTCGCCCTTTTAGCCGTGGGGGCGTTATAATGTGTCGGTCAATCCCACTATTCATTGGTAAAAGAGTAGTCCAAGAGTTGGTGGTGGGTGGTGATGACTTGCTGCCTTCCCTTTAGTCTTACACTGCTAAATTAGGGACGGCTAGCGCAGATAGCCCTCGTGTAGCTTTGCGCGAAATTCATAACAAACAAACAATTATATTTTTTAATGGCGTTACCTTTTTCTTTTTTAATAGCGTTATAATTATTGCGTTTTAATCACGTTATAAATGCTTCTAATGACGTTACAGTTGGTGTTCTAATGACGTTACAGTTGTTTATAATTAGTGCTACAATTTTTTGTTTTTTAATGACATTACAATTGTTGCGTATCAACGATGTTACAGGTGTTTTAATGACGTTACAGTTGGTGCTTTTAATGGCGTTATAGCTTTTTTGTTTTTCATTGATATTACAGTTTTTTTATTTTGTTAATAATGCTAAAGTTGTTGTTTTTAATGGCATTACACTTATTGTTTTTAATGGCGATACAGTTGTTGCTTTTCAATTGTGTTATTATTGTTGTAATATCATGATCTCCTGAAACTTTATTTGGATGCCCAATATTTCGCTCCATCATCGGTTATTATTTTTCAAGATGAATGTGTCATTACATTCAGAATTTATTAACACTATTAATACAGGCCTAGTTTCCTTGAAAGATGTTATTAATGTATTACTTCTATATAGGATGTTTTGAACGACGTTTCGAGCTGCTAGCACAGATCTTCATCAGCTCGAAACGTCATCCAAAACGTCTTGTCTTAGCCTTTTCTCAAGCAAGATGCCTAATACTATTTCATGTTCAAGGGAAACTGTTTGCTGTTGTTTTTTAAAGAACGACAACACGAAAAGTTTAGCGGTTAACTTTATAATACCATGTTAAAGTGAGGCCCTGAAAAAACCATGTTGGCGAAATATTGGAAGTCTATGCAGAATATCTGGGTTTTATGGTCTAGTAATATTTATTACTTATTCATTAATTGTAAATGATATTGCTGTGATATTATTCAAACTTGAATTGGAACACCGTGGTAAGAAAAAAACAGTCAGAGGAGGTATGATGGAACGACTCTGGAAGTTTCAAACACTTTCACACTGGAAGAGAATAAAGCTGTACGTGTAAACGAAAAAAACTAACAAAAAATTAACCACACACACATGCTTCCCCACCCTAAAGACATTACATGACATCTCCATCATCGATCTTGGAATTGGGATGCTGATGCAAGTAAAGTTTGCCCTAAACTACCACAGTCAACTTGCTGAAAAGTGTTTGAGTAAGTTGATATGTTTAACATAACAACTTCAAGTTCTATTTCATTAATAAATTTTAAAATATAATGACGTTAAAATGTAATGATGTTTTTAATGTTGTTTAAATGGATTCAAATTTTTTCTTACTCATGAAAAGAAGGGTACATTAGACTAGTTAAAGACAGTTCACTTAGTAAGTCGGATTTTTAAAATGGTATTATTATACATTATTTATAAACATTATTTCGGTTGAAGAAGAGTGTTGAATGTTAACATGAAACTTGTGTTACGACGGATCAAATGATGGAAATAGTTTACTTATTAGTTAAAAAACTTCACGAGGGGTTTCCTTTTAAGTTTCATAACATCTTTACATCTTAATGTATCATTCTAAGACTAAGTGTCTGATTATTTTATAAATGAGATAGTAGTAATTGTGGAACCTATTTTAATATTTTCGTATACAAGGGCGAGTGTGATTCGTATTTTAAAACAAGAAATTTATTGTGTAAAATCAAAACTTAGGGAGCCTCCCAGTGGCACAGCGGTATGTCTGCTGACTTACAACGCTCGAAACCTGGTTTCGATACCCGTGGTGGGCAGAGCACAGATAGCCCTTGTGTAACTTTGTGCATAATTCAAAACAAACTTAGGGAGACATTTTCTATTGTAGTTTTTACACATTGAAGTGTCTAGATGATGTAATAAGAGGAAGTTAAAACAGTTTTAGAACATCATATATTATTACATGTGTTATGAAACATACATTTACGTGTCTTGAGGTACGTAAAATGACAGCAAACTAGGATTAACGAATTTTCGTCATGCAAACACGTGTGTGGCATGTCTGAGTATATGTGACAGAACGAGACCAAATGTAGGATAGTGACAATTTAACAGTGTAAAACAACTGCCGAACTTCGGCGTCTAACATTTTCAACAGAGAAGATATACGCACAAACACGCACGCACCCTTTAATAATGAGGAAATAACACGGGTAACCCATGTTCTCACCAAACAACTATTCATGTCAGTCGAGTGAAAAATAATTGCTCATAAACTTCATTTTGAGAAAGCACATTTATCGATTCAGCTCTGCCCTTGAGTCTTGTCTAGAAGAGTACACTGGACTTATTTATTATTCAAACGTGCCAAGAAACACATACAGTATACACACACGCGTATATCTATATATAATGATTTATTTCTGTGTGTTCTTTTATTTTTATTACAGAGTGCTGTTTACGGAATTTCATGCAAAGCTACTCGAAGGCTATCTGCGCTAACCATCCTTAATTTTGAAGTGACAGGTTAGAGAGAAGGCAGCTAATTAACACAACCCACCACCAACTCCTAGGCTACTCTAATCGAATAGTGAGATATCGCGCTCATAAAGTATATGGAGCGCTATATATGTGTATATATATTTGTGTGTGTGTGTGTGTAGTAATAATCATCAGTCTGCCCATAATGTATCATGTATCTGGAATTTGTTTCTTATATTTTCTTAGAAACAAAAACTTTGCTAATATCGATATTGTAAAGATTCACGATGGGTAACCACGCTACGTCTCTAACTTAAAAGTTTAGCTACATAATCCCCGAATCTTACCGCTTAGCAACCGAAAGCTTTTTTAACATCAAATATAACTAGGAATCTCATCAAATGATTTTATTTGTGTGACATTTGCTTCATGAAGAAAAATGTTGAATATAAATGGGAAATTTTCATAATTGTATGGAAAAAGTAACCTGTATTTTTTTTTACTCAGTTAGGTGTAATACCTCAAAAGGCAGCATCAAACCTTCATTAGAGACAAATAATGAGGGTTCGGTTTACCAAATACCTATTAGTAATGTTTGTTTGTTTGTTATAAATTTCGCGCTAAAGCTACACGATAGCCGTTCCCAATTTAGCAGCGTAAGACTAGAGGGAAGGCAGCTAGTCATCACCACCCACCTTGGGCTACTCTTTTACCAACCGTCACATTATTAAGCCCTCACGGCTTAAAGGGCGAGCATGTTTGGTGTGACGGGGATTCGAATCCGCAGATTGCGAGTCGAGCGTCTTAACCACCTGGTCTTGCCGAGCTATTAGTAATAAGGCTTAACGATAGTTATCAAATTCTAGTAATTGAATGAATCAGTTGAAAAATTACGACCAATCGATTGAATTTTAAAGATAATTGTTTGTCCAGAAAATGACAATTTAAATCTGCATATTCTTTAATTAAAATGTCATAGTGCAGCAGGGTTTTATCTAACTCTTTTTATACCCACCAGGTTGTAGCCACGGATGAAGATGAAGGAGCAAGTGCTAATGTGTCGTACAGTCTTGAAACCGGAATAATGGATAACACTTTCCATATCAACCCTGCAAGCGGATCTGTGATCGCAAGGAAACATCTAGAAATTGGTGAAGAGTATGAATTAAGGGTAAGCTACGCTCTTCTATATATATATATACACATAAATATATATATACATATCTGTATTACCTATTTATTGAATTTTGGACGTTTTCAAAACTAACACATGCAATTCTGAAGATAAAAATCCGATGATGAAGTAAAGATAGATTTATGATAAACAACAAGAAGAAAAAACTTATAAACAAACCTTATCGAAGATTAGTTTCCTTTTCACAACTTGTATTATTGTATTCCTGAAAACTGAAAACCTTACTACGGACGTATTCAGTACTATGCTAGTAAAATTGTGTTATAAGTCAATAGAGACTGAGAAGTATTATTCTAACTCATGATGAGTTGAACATATTACACTTTTTTATGGAAAGAAAAACACGGTAAGATTTGTCCCGAAAGAAACGCCCTCCCCCTGTGGCAAAGCGGCATGTCTGCGGATTTACAACGCTAGAAACCGAGTTTCGATAACCGTGGTGGGCAGAGCACAGATAGCCCATTGTGTAGCTTTGTGCTTAATTTCAAACAAATAAACAAACGGAAAGAAACGAGTTTTTAATTTATCTTATTCTATTCTTTCAGTTTAAGTCCGCAAATATTTTGATATCGACACCATTATCCATTTGTATAACAAACAGTAAAGGGGTACACGGAAATGTTTGGGCGAGACATTTACAGTTTTCGACTACAAAAACAATTTTCATTTTTTTATTAATTTTGTCTTAAGATCTTGAATATGTAACTGGCGCAGACAAATGTTAAAGTGCTTACACTTATATACATTTTTTTCTTAATCTGTATTGCGATAACAATACATTTTCATTTATAAGTTTAATAAATATTTTACTCTTTATTTTTCTTAGTTCTGCAATACCCGGATCTCCAGTTGAAACTTTTACTTTTAACAAACTGGTACACATGTGTGCATGTGAATGTTCACATTAATTAAAACTGAATTCAAGAAATTATAGCTCATCTTCGATTTCTTGCGATTTTTGGAAATCATAAGAGTTTCGTATCTTTTTGCTTTTGACAGGTGTTGTTGTTAAGCACAAAGCTACACAAAGGGCTATCTGTGCTCTGCCCACCACGGGTATCGAAACCCGATTTCTAGCGTTGTAAGTCTGCAGACATATCGCTGTGCCACTGGAGGGCACTTTTGACAGAATAATAAAAGGAGATAGTCAAGGTTAAAGCCATTCCTTTTTGCGAAGTTTGATCGTTTAATGGAAGTTACAAATTGTTTTCACTGCTCAATATAATCCGATTGATTTAGTTAATTCTTTCTGACGCGAAATGTTTTTCTGTAGTGAACGTAAAGGACTTATTAAAATTGACATTTCGAAGACTTTTTAGTACGCACCTTCGTACAAAAATGAAGCTAGGCACGCGACAATGTACATTTAGAAAACTTAAAAAAAATACTCAAATACGTTTTGTTTCTTTTCTGCATAAAATGAGTTTTTGAAACAACATTCTTTAATAACACTTTAAACATGTTTCACATTGGTTACGTAGAATGAAGAACTTGTTTTTCTATATAAAATCTGAAGATTAGATTTTATACAAGATGCACACTAGACGATTAAACAGACTTTTATTTTTAATTCAAAACTATTTTGATCAAGTTGAGGAAGAAGAATAGTCAACTATTCGAAAGCGCTCGAATTTTGGGTCTTATTTTAAGTCTATTACACTTTATATGTGATCCTTTGTGCTAACTCTTTTATCAAAAATGAATATGGCTAAGGTATTCTCAGTGTAATAACCTAATGCTCTAGATAATTCACATATGGTATCACGTGTGCTTTCATTTGGAAAGGATTGGTGTAAATTAGCATACAGTATAAAAAGGTGTACAGTGTGATCTTTTCTACTGGTGGACCAGGTGATATTTAAAGGGTGCATTCTCCATCAGTTGTTATGGGAATGACTATCAGTGACATAGATAGCACGCGCTTACTGAGAGGGATAGTGCATTTGAAACTTTTATATGATGCTATGCTCTCCTAACCTAAAAAAAATATATATCTACATATTTAGAAGTCTGATCCTACCACTATACTGATTTATTACTCTCTAGTGAAGCACTCTCTTTTGTCAGTACGCTTGTACTTCGAGAAATAAAGATTTACTTTCACTTTGATACATGATTTTCAGTCTCTTTCTTGCTTAAACTTAGTCAAAGCTAGAATTCATATTTGCTGTGATATTCATTTCCTGAATGAACCTGCTATTATCTTCAGGACCCACTTGTAAAGTGTATTTAGGAATGCCACACAAGATAGGGATGTTATTCAACTTGATTTGTAGCATATATGTCTACTTTTATAATTCAACTCATAATAGAGATGTATTTTTACAATATGTTTCCCAACTAACTGTGGAGCTAATGAGGGATACCCGATAGAAAAGTAGAACTGGTGCTTTTCGTACACTCTGATACCAGTTGAGATAAATCTGTAACTCTTTGGTCTCTTTTGCATAATACAAAATCTCCACAGGAATCAGTTGAACATAGTTGTGTTTCGAAGCAAAAACATTCATTGCCAATACGTTAAGTTTCACATTTATTGTTATCTTTGTGGTATGGCGTAACTTGTTGTACGAGATCAACCTCACTAGCTACTACAAGATAGTGAACTCGAAACGTCGCGAGCTATTCTACAACTACAAAACATTTTCCCTCGTCATTACAAGACTGAGTAAGGCTTAGCAAAAGTATTGGTGAATGCAAGAGATCTTGTAGAAAAATGGGATTAAGTGTAATATTTTCGTAAGAACAACAGGTTTGCTCACGAAGGAAGAAAAGTGTTTTCATATGAAAGTTGCAATGAATCCGTCATTGATCCATAACAGAACTTCAAGCTCAATTTCTTTAACAGAATTGTCGATACAGCCATTGACTTCGTAGAAGAGAAGCTTCAGAAACTACAGAAAAATACCTCATTGTTCAGTGTCCTGTAATGTATTGTTGAGCTGTCAAAAATGAGGCCAAGAAACCTGCTGAAAAACTGCATGAATCTTCAATCTTGCGTCAGTACAACAGAACTTTGTGACGAATTGCAGGTTTCCTCACGTAAGGTGACTAAAATGACACCAAAAATGCGTTGCAAGAGCATATTAGCATCTTCGTTTCCTAACGCCATTGTTGCACTGAGAATTTTCCTGACTTTGTCCATCATCATTACTAATGGAAGAGAAAGCTTTTTTAAACCAGATTGATTAAAAATGATCTCAAATCAACCAAGCAACAACTAAGACTATAAATTGGTAAACATTTCGATCGAATATGAAGTTGTATTGTTTGTTTGTTTTGAATTTCGCGCAAAGCTACACGAGGGCTATCTGCGATAGCCGTCCCTAAT